AAATAAACTTTGCATTAGAGCTTCAAAAATGTGAACCGCAAGCAATGAATTAAACAAATGCAGAGAGAGGGTCCCCAGGGAGCCCTGGGCTCACCACAGGCTCACAGTGCTTTTAAGGGGGTGGAAGTTCATCAAAAGAAAGACAAGTACAGCTTATTACAGAAAAAAAATAAATAAAAAAGCCCACATTTATCATTAACAAGTAAAAACCATGCAGCAGCTCATTCTACCCACAATTACACACATGACTAAGTTTAATCAGGCCCTGAAGTCAAGAACAAACAGCGAGTGTGAGCACCGTAACAATCGTGTTTAAAGGAAAAATTACATTCCCTGTTTGGCCTCTGATGGAGCCAGGGATGGCAACGCAGGTGGCACAAGCCTGGGACCTTCAGCACACACTCAGAAACCTGATTATGTTCCTCTGATTTGCTCAAGTGCTTCGCAGAGCTCCTAAAAAAATATGCTGAACCCTTTTAGAGCTCTCTGAAAAAGCAGGGTTTATGTGTAAAAAAAGAAAAAATTTAATTACTGGTGGCAAAGGTCCCATCAATCTGACCTGCATCTCGAAATTTCAGCAAAGCCAAATGCACGGGGAGCCTCTCTTACCTTCAGTTTAAATTTAGGCCTGATTCTGACAGTCACTCCATTTTATCACTCAAGCAACAGGTACCAAGCCACCAAAAGTCAGATTTCAACTAAAAAAATTGAAATCACCCAAAAAAACAAACCAAACAAACAAACAAAACCAGTAGTAGCAACATCAAATGTACTAAACTAGACTTATAAAACTGAAATTTTTGGCATGCAGAACAACTAACAAGTCAGAGCCACAGTGCTTGGTGCAAACAGGCAATTCTTCTTAAAAATAAAAAAGACAAGAAAATAATACCTGTTACTTCTCAGCCAGCTGGATCAAGAGTATCTCTTGACACTTGCTTCTCAGAATTATGGAACACTTCCTCTGTAAGAACTTTTTTTAAAATTATTTTTCTAGTCTTATTCTCAGGGGAATCCAGCGTATTTGCATCCATAATAATGTTTTTCCTGTATTTAGGATGCCTTTCCCCAAACCCCTTCTGTAATTGTACATCCACTCAACAGTAGGCATGCATTAAAAAGCAGAGAAGTTATGAATACCCTCGAGCAGAAGGAATGGATTATATTTTGAAATATACAGAATAACTTATTGAAATTTTGAGCCTTATCCAGCAAAGCCTTTCTCCTAGGAAACATGTGTGAATGAGGACAATAAAAGATCCTTTATTACAAAAAAAAGACAGAAATAAAAAGGTTTTGTTTTTCTTAACTCATTAAAAAAAACCCCAAAAAACAACTTTGATAAATCAAAGTGGAAAGATATAAGTTGCACTAGAAATGGAAGCTTTTTCCTGATTTATTTTTATTTTAGTGTAGAGACTCCATCTGTGTTCCACAGTAGTCTGTGACAATGACTTTGCCTAACTGGTCTGTTCAATGACTACGCTTCATTCTTAAAATTATATTACAAATTATGCCATCCTCAGTAGGTACTATCTGCTCTCAAGTAGCTCCCAACACTTTTAAAGTGAAAATATTATAGAAACATCCAATTATTTACAGGATTGAGGCTGACAGCTAAGCCACACAGCTAAGCCTCTGTATTGAATGCATATTCCACACAGCTAATAGTGCCATTCATATGCAGCCCCCAAAGAGATTTGGGTAATGCCTCAATAACCATAACTTCAACTGTGGGTTGGGAATGCTCTTATTAATATTATTTTTTTCTCCTCCAATTATGTAATGCAAATTGTGAAAAGCAGAATTTGCATCTTAACTTGACTTCTATATTATCTCTGCCTTGCACCTTAGGAAATTGCCAGATATTAAGTTATAGTTAGAGCTGCACCAAGACCATCCATTCCAGTAAACTGGAATCAGAATAATTTTATTTTACTTCCTGGCTCAGTTGTCTTCTGAAAAGCAAGATCTACTTTTTTGTCTTTGCATATATTTAAAATGTGTAAATTAACAGCCATAGGTCAGCTGTTATTAACTAAAAGTAACATCTGTCTGCCTAAAGAAGTATTTCCTTTCACTGGATATCTCAGACTTAAGAATAACCTGCTAGAGAGCTGGATAAACCTCATTCTTGGCAGCTGGCTGACCCACTAATTATTCTAAATTTATACTTTATCCTAAAGTACATCTTTATTTCAGCAAATAATTAAACAGTTCATTTAGCGACCTTGTTCCACAAATCCTAGTTCAGTTCCTTGCTGCTCTCATGGCTACTTTCACTAAGCTTAATATTATCCAAAGCACACTGCCAAGTTTCATTAAAAATGTTGATTTAGCCCTTGAATAAATTGCCACAGTAATACTAGATGTCTATATGGATAAATACAATTCAACTCCTTTTCCTGCCACTGCACCCACACACAAAGCATGAGGAAGGCAGCACTCCTTTTGCTCTGTGTCAAACATATTTTTATTTGCATTCTTCTGAGTACTTTTGGCCATATCCAAGGATATATTTTCCTTCCAAGGAGCAGAGAATTGCCACACAACTAGCCTCAACATCCATAAATCCAAAATATTTGCAGAAGTAGAATCCTTTAAGTTTTGATGGCTTAGTATTTACTCTTAAGAGAAATGCTGCTTTCTTAGCACACTGTGACATCTTCTGAGAAGTAGATGAAAGTAAAGCAACTTTTCTTGAAAGTTATGACACAACTTTTCTTACGTGGTAACACCGCCTGCGTTGAAAAACACTGTGTCTTCAAAAAAAAACACAATCTGAAAGGCAAGGGGAAAAAGAAAACCTTGGATGGTTTCCTTTGCTAAAGAGGTATTTTTAAGTCCTTTTTTCCTTTTTTTTGGATCTTCTTTAGGATTCAGCTTTAGGGCAGGCTCGTGGTGCTGGGTTTGTGGCAGCGCTCCCCTCGCCTGGAGAGCCTGGCTGGTGAAGTCACCAAAAACTCCACGTGGGAAATAACTCCAAACAAGCTCTATTTGCTAAAGCAAGAACTGTGGGAGAGGGTTTTGTGTGACTTGGCCTGGAAGCATTCACATTTGTATTTATATTTGTGTTCACGTTGAGGAGGCAGCCCTGGCTGCAGGTCGGAGCAGGAGAGCCCAGGAAGGAGGGAGGATTCATTGGTGCACTTGCAGACGTAATCAGGACATCAGCTCAAATCTGCCACTTGATCCCAGAGCACCACAACATGCTCTCCATCCCCCTGTTTGCCATGGAGCACTTCCAGAGGTGAAGGAATTTCCAGGTTCACTTCGCCCACTGCCACCCCTTTGCTTGGATAAATAATTTTTAATTTTTTTTAATTTTTTTTTTTTTCTCTTTTTGCTCAGTGACACAATACTGGAAAACATTTTGGGCAGGACCCCAAGGTGCTGCCAGCTTAAGATAAAGCCCTTTGTAGCACCCAAGGATCTGGCATTCCATCAGCACAAATTACTGGAGTAATTAAAAACTGCTCCATAAAAAGAACACCTGTATTTGAGAACTGGATCACGGTGCTAATTCTACATCTCCCCACTTTTTTGACAGGCTGAAGAGAACTGAAAATTATTAGCCAAGCAAATTGACTGAAAACTTGATTAGCAGCTGGCAAAAGATTTCAGATGGAGCTCAGAAACTTCAGTGATGCTGATAAAAAATAACCAGCAAAGTGGAAATTATTTCAGTTCAGTTTTTGTAATGTTTCAGGTAAACGGGGAGATTTCCTATCTTCTTATTTAAGAACTAAATATTATATAAATTTATATAAATTTTATCTAAGAATTTAATAAGAATTGCCACTGTCACATAAAGTGCAAAACAGAAAAATGAGAGATAGAGACTGATAGAATGGATGTCCCATATGGTCTCAAAATAAAACTAATTATGTTATAGCCAGCAAGAAGAGTCACTCTTTAGATTCAGCCCTGACTCAATCTGTAAATAGAGTAGAAATTCTTTGCACAAACAAAAATCATAATGTTGCTGTGTTTCTACTAAAATTTGCCTAAAATTAATTATTGTAAAACTAAAATTATTTCAAAGAACTACAACAAAAATATCATTATCTTCTCAGTTGTCCCCCTGCACACAGGACTCAGACATTCATAAACAGACAATTACTCAGTCCAAGGCCTCTGTATATTTGCAGTATTTTGCCTCCATAGGTTTTCCTTCAACAACCAATGTTAAATAAAATGAACCTGAATTTCAGGCACAGGTAGGCTGCTAAAATCAAACTGACCAAATTGCAATGGACTGCAATGTGAAAGAAGAAAAAAAAGCAAAGTCTGCTTTCCCTACATATTTCTATGCCATCCTAAAAAAATTGCAATTTTTAAACTCATAAAACAGGGCTGTAAATTCAAACATTCCTAGCTGGCGTCAAACCACAACTTTTACGTCAAAATGAGATAATTCTCCTGCTGATTCAAACAGAAATCTTTGCTAATCATGGGAAATGTCTTTGTAATCTGCTTGTGTCCATGGCTGTTAAAAGACTTTACAATCCATGGAGTATTACAGATAAAAACAGAAAATATATATTTTCAAATGTAATTTGCCATACATTTAGGAAAAAAAAATTGGTGTTTTTGAAGAAAATACTACCAATCCCACAGCAGCTCTGAGGTAACTATAAGCACCTCCCACAACACAAGGGAATATTTCCAGAAGCTGAAATGGACATAAGAAAAATACTTTCAAGTGTTGCAAATCCTGACCCCCTTTGTGTTCTAAGAGCGAACTATTTTTTTTCGCCTGGAGACTTCGTTTACAGAAAAAAATCTATTAATCTATTAAAGATTAATCTATTAATCTATTAAAGATGGAACTGAGAGGTGGTTTCTTTCCACTGGAATCTCCAAGGCAGAACCTCAGGGTGGTGAGGTTGGAACCTCCTCCACCAGAGGCTGCCCATGCCCAGCTGGGTTTGGAGTCCCACGAACCTGGTGAGGTTTGTGAACATAAAAACATTTCAATACATTTAAAAGCTGCTTACTTTTCCTGCTCTGCCTCGTAAGCAGCCACTTTAGCTCCTGTCCCTGCAGGTTTTGCCGTCCTCTGCCTTCGTTTTCTCCTCGGAGCTGGGTCCACGATGTCTGGGCTGCCCAGGAGGGAGGAATCCCTTCGTTCCAGAGCTGCCAAGAGGAAAAAACAACCAAGGTGAAAAGAAATCTAACATTTGAGGTCTTTCAAGACCCTTAAAGTGTTTCTTCTCTGTGTCTTTCTTACGGAAATCTCCATAGTCCCAGGATGGTCTCAGGACTGGGAGAAGTTTGTGACATAAAGGCAAGTTCAAAAAGACTGAATTTAAACTAGAAAGATAATCTTTCCTTGGTACCTCTTTGTAGGCACTGGAGAGAAAGGCCAGCAACCCCAAACTGGACAATCTGTCTGGATTTTCACTGCCTCCTTTGCTGATGCTGAGTGAAGCAGGCTCTGTCCAGGTTCATCTACCTATTTAAATTACCATGTAAACTCATAAAATATGCTTTATCTATACTTAAACAACAAACCCCTCTCCACTTTGACAATTACCTACTCAAAACTCAAATGTCAAGGCAGACAGATCTTTCCTTAAGCTAAAAAAACAAAAACAAAACAAAACACAAAACCTATTAATGCATTCAGAAGTTATGCAGACATTTTTATTCCAGCTATCAACATCCTGCAGTGTATTTTCATTTGGTATGCCTTCTTTCAAAGTGAAATCTTTAGTTACCTATAATTTTCAAGACAATGATATCCAGAACAGCACAAACTTCAGCAGAAATATGTTAAATAATAATGGGGTGGCTGAGGCTGAAGCTTCTGGGGTCACTTCCCAGTTTATTACGTTTCTGTGCATTTTAGGGTGGTTTAATCCTCACTTGGATAAAAGATGCCATAATTTGAGACTCAAATGGTTTTCACAGAAAGTAAATAATAATGAGTCCTGTTTCCCCATCCCTTTCACAATGGTTACCCACGTGTGCTGAAAATGAAGCAGGGAGGTAAGACACAGCCCACAAGTGGCATTTTCACCATTTCTCAGAGAAACATGTGTTTCTGGCCAAGAACACTGATAAATTTATCAGAGGCTCCCCAGAGCCCCTGCTCAGAGTGAGGCACATGCTTTACATTTAATAATATTAAATATTCACCAGCAGGCACTACACTACATCACAGACTTGCAGATATTTGCAGGGTGACAACAGGCATTAGCTGACATATTTCCCAGGCACAAGCTAATTAACAAGTTCCAAAGTCCAGCACAGACAAGATACATTCCTACAATAAATGCTGAGAAGGGTTAAACTACACTAACCACAAACCATTCTAAACTTTAACCAGATATGCATACTTTTCCAGTGTTAACTGCTGAAAATACACTTATGATAGTTACTCTTTACCTGTCTGGGGCAGCGTGTCCAACATTTGCACAAACACAGGTTTATGTATTTCAACATCACTGCTCAAAGTTGGCCTCTTCATAATGAATACACACAGAACAGTTTGCTGTCAAGAACCCAACAAATCTGAATAATCTTACTCTCATAACTGCTATCCTTCCTTTTTGCTGTTCTCCTCCCACACCCTCTACTTTGGCCAAAGAGTAGATCCAGAGGTGAACCTCATATACAAAATCTACATTTCCCTAATATAATAAAGAAATGTCTCTGTGTTTTCACCTGTGCAATGTGAACTGGTGATCACAGCCCTCATGCCCAGTAACAGAATTCTCCTGTGTCTAAAACGAATTTACCAGGGGCTTGGGGATTTTTGTTGCATTTGTTTCTTTCTTTTAGGCTAAAACTCTCAGGATTGCTGAAGAAAAGATGGAATACACTTGACTCTCACAGTACCATGCATCACCGCTGGGCTCTAAACACACACCCACTTCTGCTGCCCAAAAATAATTCCCACTAATGAATTCATTTATAGCACTTGAGTAAAAGCCAAAGAAAGCTTCAGCAGAATACTGCTCATTGCTCAACGTAAAAATCTTTTGGAAAAATGAGAGACAGCCTTAGGCACCAGCCTAGCTTTTTCATTCTGAAAATATTTTCTGTCTAAATTTAAGCAACGTTTTAAGGAGGGAAAGATCCTCGTGAAAACAAATTTTCTACTTTTATGTTACGTAATTCAGTATGAAGGGTTGTTATACCTTCAAGAGGAATGGTAGCAATTTAAACACAGACAAGAGTACTGCTGGATGAAAAACAGTAATTAAACCTCCTACACCAAACATTGATTAGGAAAAGAAAATATTCCCAGCAGAGAACATACTTCCTGCAAGAAAATAAGATTGATAAGAGAGCAAGAAGGGGATCGTGGTTCAAGTACTGGAAGAACATTTGTGCCAAGAAGATTAAAGACTTTAAATAAAAACTCCTGCAGGTTGGAGGGCTTTTCCTTGTTTTGGGGGTTCTCTTCTGTAACTTTGAAGAGTGATATTATTTAGTTATAGTTTAGTTTATAAATATAATATAAATATATAATATTTATATAGTTTAGTTTAGTTAGAAGAGTGATTATTATTTAGTGATAGTGGGTTGAGGGAGTTTTTCCAATAGGGTATTCCAGAAAATAACTGTAAATTAAAAATAGCTGTCATTGGTTTGGAAGAGCTGGGATGAAATTAAATCAAGGCAGCCCCTCAGTGTTGGAGATCTGGAAACAGAATATGCCTTAAATACAGAAAAAGTCTGAAAAACACAGAAAAAAAAATAGTCAGGACTCTTCCTCGAGACATTTGGAAATACAGCATCAGGATCTCTAAAACAACAGAGATTAATTTCTGCAGCCTGGTTATAGGTGGGCAGTCCTGTTAGATTCCACAATACACTTCTGCATCACTTTATTTTGATATACAGAAGTCAATTGTTTAAAAATAAATACTTTCCAATCTGGCATATCCACCTTTCAGTCTGAAAAAAACAACAACTCTGTGCATCTTCATTTGTGTATACCATGAAAACGTATTTTCACTTCTAATGAAAATCCTACAGCATTGACTTGTCTAATTATTCCTGACAGTGTCACCAAGAAAACAGGATCCAGATCCTCTCAGTACAGCAGTAAAGGGCTAAAATCAGCACCAAAAGCTTAGTTTTGCCATAAAAAACATAAACAGGGACCAAAGCAAGCAAAAAGCAAAGAAGTTTTCCAAAACTGAGGAATTTGTTTGTCTAAAATGACCTAACTTCACACAGTCAGAAAACACAACCTCAATTATGAATAATGGACCACAGGCAACAAAAAAAAAGCTGCAATTAATCAGATTTTACCCACAGGAAATTCAGTCACAGGTATTATTTCTCTTCATCTTGCTATTATATAGACAGGTGATTGAATGGATTCAAGGAATGTTCATAGTCTCAGCCTGTACCACTAAATGAAATGTATTTTGTTTGATCACAATAAAGAACTTGCAGTTATTAAAAAAAAAACAAAAACAAAAACAAAAAAAAAACAAGCTTTTCCAGATTGGTATAGGACAGGAAATATTTCTAAAGAACACAGGCATTTATTCTGAAGACAAGGCTTTATTTAAAATTATCTCCTATCCTGGAGATTTCATCAACAGCAAGACAGAATTCTGACAATTTTAATTTCTCTTCTGAATGAAAATAAAGACTTAGGAAAATTTGTTCAGACTTTCAGATATTAACACTACTGTAGCTCCCCTAAATTCCACCCAGAGCCCTCCTGTTAGCAGAACTCCCTGGCTGAATTCTGCCTAGCTCCAGGCAGAATGTGTTGCTCCATGGAATTAATCAACTGAACTTCCAAGTTCTGCTCTTTAATGAGGCTGATGATTTAATGTAAACCAAAATGGGCTGAGAGGTGGCCACAAAACCATCACCTGGAGAGCACCAGGGCTGCCTGTCAGAGCTGTCCCCCAAGCTGCCAGAGAAAGGAAAAGGCAGAAGGAGGGAGCAGAACTCATCACTTTAATCCCTGACTGCAGCCTAACTCCAGCAATTTCGCGGTTTCTCAATCCCACCATAATTCCCCAGGGATCACCGTGGCTGATGATAATTAGCATCTCTTTGACAGCCTCAGCAGAGCCCTCTAAATGAATGGGTATGGAAATTAACACATCCCAGGGATGCAAAGGCAGTATCTGCAAAGCAGGATTAAGTCATTCCTGACAGGCAATTGAGGAAACACCATTCCTACCTCCGTGTTCACAGATCCTGGCATTTTTCATGAGAAATAGATCTATTTGGGTCACTCAGAGATATTAAACACTGCTGTTTACAGTCCATGCATCTGCTTCAGTGAAAGCAACAGGAATATGTCACTATATTAATTTTAGGAAAACAGTGAGAGCCGTTCCCCATTCCCTTTGTCCTGCCCTACTGTATATTTAATTCTTTGTATAAATTTGGGTTTACTGTACCGTAATCCCCTGGGGGCAAGAGGCAGTTGAGACAGAGGTTCTATAAATTCTCTGTCAGCTGGTTGTTCACGTTTATTTTCACAAAGAATATCTCCATGGGAAGTGTTTATGAAGACACATTTTAAAACAACTCCAGCAAAAAGTTTAGATCCAGCTATACAAAATTTATAAATTGTAGTCAGCTCAGTAAGGAAGTTTACATTTTACCCTAGCAGGCTGTATTACCACCGAGTTTTCTACTTGCAAAGTCTATTCTTTTCCTGACATCACCCTTTTCTAAAAGATTTTTAAATGAAGCACTTGAATTAAAACAAACAAACAAACAAACAAACAAACCCCAAAAAAACCCCCAAACCAAACAAAGAACCCCACACAAAACAAACCAAACAAAAACTCTCACAGAAAACGTGCTCATTTCAAACCTGCAGGGAAACAAATCAAGTTATGGTAAAATCTGTTTGCCAGAAGGTTTCCTTTTCAATGATTATTTATTGGGGATTTCTTTATTAGGGATAACTCAGATGTGCCATCCCACATTGTCTTGAAACTACATGGCACAGGAAATTAGGGCAAATTCGACACACAAATAGTAAGCTTGGCCAGGGAGCATGAAAAAGTCTCTTTCCATCTATCAAAATACAAGAGGGTAAAAAAAGAATGCATTTTACACATCTCCAAGAGACTCTGAGGGAGCCCATTAATTTTAATCATTGAAACCATGATCTGTAATAGAAATCCCTCTTTTTGAAA